GAAAATGCGTGTGTACAGGCATGGCCCTTGAAGTTGTGGGTCTTAATGAAACGTGGGGAGATGCGCTGTGGTGTCCTCCTGTGGCGTCTGACACGCCCACTCGCAGGGTGAAGGGAGCAGGGCCTCAGACGGAGCAGCCCCGGCTCCGGTAGCATCTCCCCTTTGGGCAGCGTTTCTCCCACAGATACACACCGCACGTGCACTGTGAGGGCGTCTCCCGCGGTAGCATCTTCCCCTTGGGCAGCGTTTCTCCCACAGATACACACCGCACGTGCACTGTGAGGGCGTCTCCCGCGGTAGCATCTCCCCCTTGGGCAGCGTTTCTCCCACAGATACACACCGCACGTGCACTGTGAGGGCGTCTCCCGCGGTAGCATCTCCCCCTTGGGCAGCGTTTCTCCCACAGATACACACCGCACGTGCACTGTGAGGGCGTCTCCCGCGGTAGCATCTCCCCCTTGGGCAGTGCTTCTCCCACAGATACACACCGCACGTGCACTGTGAGGGCGTCTCCCGCTGTAGCATCTTCCCCTTGGGCAGTGCTTCTCCCACAGATACACACGCGCACTGTGAGGGCGTCTCCCGCGGTAGCATCTCCCCCTTGGGCAGCGTTTCTCCCACAGATACACACCGCACGTGCACTGTGAGGGCGTCTCCCGCGGTAGCATCTCCCCCTTGGGCAGTGCTTCTCCCACAGATACACACCGCACGTACACTGTGAGGGCGTCTCCCGCGGTAGCATCTTCCCCTTGGGCAGCGTTTCTCCCACAGATAAGCACGCGCACTGTGAGGGCGTCTCCCGCGGTAGCATCTCCCCCTTGGGCAGTGCTTCTCCCACAGATACACACCGCACGTGCACTGTGAGGGCGTCTCCCGCTGTAGCATCTTCCCCTTGGGCAGCGTTTCTCCCACAGATACACACGCGCACGTGCACTGTGAGGGCGTCTCCCGCGGTAGCATCTCCCCCTTGGGCAGCGTTTCTCCCACAGATACACACGCGCACGTGCACTGTGAGGGCGTCTCCCGCGGTAGCATCTCCCCCTTGGGCAGCGTTTCTCCCACAGATACACACCGCACGCGCACTGTGAGGGCGTCTCCCGCGGTAGCATCTTCCCCTTGGGCAGTGCTTCTCCCACAGATACACACCGCACGTGCACTGTGAGGGCGTCTCCCGCGGTAGCATCTTCCCCTTGGGCAGTGCTTCTCCCACAGATACACACCGCACGTGCACTGTGAGGGCGTCTCCCGCGGTAGCATCTCCCCCTTGGGCAGTGCTTCTCCCACAGATACACACCGCACGTGCACTGTGAGGGCGTCTCCCGCGGTAGCATCTCCCCCTTGGGCAGTGCTTCTCCCACAGATACACACCGCACGTGCACTGTGAGGGCGTCTCCCGCTGTAGCATCTTCCCCTTGGGCAGTGCTTCTCCCACAGATACACACGCGCACTGTGAGGGCGTCTCCCGCTGTAGCATCTCCCCCTTGGGCAGTGCTTCTCCCACAGATACACACCGCACGTGCACTGTGAGGGCGTCTCCCGCTGTAGCATCTTCCCCTTGGGCAGCGTTTCTCCCACAGATAAGCACGCGCACTGTGAGGGCGTCTCCCGCGGTAGCATCTTCCCCTTGGGCAGCGTTTCTCCCACAGATACACACCGCACGTGCACTGTGAGGGCGTCTCCCGCGGTAGCATCTCCCCCTTGGGCAGTGCTTCTCCCACAGATACACACCGCACGTGCACTGTGAGGGCGTCTCCCGCGGTAGCATCTCCCCCTTGGGCAGCGTTTCTCCCACAGATACACACCGCACGTGCACTGTGAGGGCGTCTCCCGCGGTAGCATCTTCCCCTTGGGCAGCGTTTCTCCCACAGATAAGCACGCGCACTGTGAGGGCGTCTCCCGCGGTAGCATCTCCCCCTTGGGCAGTGCTTCTCCCACAGATACACACCGCACGTGCACTGTGAGGGCGTCTCCCGCTGTAGCATCTTCCCCTTGGGCAGCGTTTCTCCCACAGATACACACCGCACGTGCATTGTGAGGGCGTCTCCCGCGGTAGCATCTCCCCCTTGGGCAGCGTTTCTCCCACAGATACACACCGCACGCGCACTGTGAGGGCGTCTCCCGCGGTAGCATCTCCCCCTTGGGCAGCGTTTCTCCCACAGATACACACCGCACGCGCACTGTGAGGGCGTCTCCCGCGGTAGCATCTCCCCCTTGGGCAGTGCTTCTCCCACAGATACACACCGCACGTGCACTGTGAGGGCGTCTCCCGCGGTAGCATCTTCCCCTTGGGCAGTGCTTCTCCCACAGATACACACCGCACGTGCACTGTGAGGGCGTCTCCCGCGGTAGCATCTCCCCCTTGGGCAGTGCTTCTCCCACAGATACACACCGCACGTGCACTGTGAGGGCGTCTCCCGCGGTAGCATCTCCCCCTTGGGCAGTGCTTCTCCCACAGATACACACCGCACGTACACTGTGAGGGCGTCTCCCGCGGTAGCATCTCCCCCTTGGGCAGTGCTTCTCCCACAGATACACACCGCACGTGCACTGTGAGGGCGTCTCCCGCGGTAGCATCTTCCCCTTGGGCAGCGTTTCTCCCACAGATAAGCACGCGCACTGTGAGGGCATCTCCCGCGGTAGCATCTTCCCCTTGGGCAGCGTTTCTCCCACAGATAAGCACGCGCACTGTGAGGGCGTCTCCCGCGGTAGCATCTCCCCCTTGGGCAGCATTTCTCCCACAGATAAGCACGCGCACTGTGAGGGCGTCTCCCGCTGTAGCATATCCCCCTTGGGCAGTGCTTCTCCCACAGATACACACCGCACGTGCACTGTGAGGGCGTCTCCCGCGGTAGCATCTCCCCCTTGGGCAGCGTTTCTCCCACAGATACACACCGCACGTGCACTGTGAGGGCGTCTCCCGCGGTAGCATCTCCCCCTTGGGCAGTGCTTCTCCCACAGATACACACCGCACGTGCACTGTGAGGGCGTCTCCCGCGGTAGCATCTTCCCCTTGGGCAGCGTTTCTCCCACAGATAAGCACGCGCACTGTGAGGGCGTCTCCCGCGGTAGCATCTTCCCCTTGGGCAACGTTTCTCCCACAGATACACACCGCACGTGCACTGTGAGGGCGTCTCCCGCTGTAGCATCTTCCCCTTGGGCAGTGCTTCTCCCACAGATACACACGCGCACTGTGAGGGCGTCTCCCGCGGTAGCATCTCCCCCTTGGGCAGTGCTGCTCCCACAGATACACACCGCACGTGCACTGTGAGGGCGTCTCCCGCGGTAGCATCTCCCCCTTGGGCAGTGCTGCTCCCACAGATACACACCGCACGTACACTGTGAGCGCGTCTCCCGCGGTAGCATCTCCCCCTTGGGCAGCGTTTCTCCCACAGATACACACCGCACGTGCACTGTGAGGGCGTCTCCCGCGGTAGCATCTTCCCCTTGGGCAGCATTTCTCCCACAGATAAGCACGCGCACTGTGAGGGCGTCTCCCGCGGTAGCATCTCCCCCTTGGGCAGTGCTTCTCCCACAGATACACACCGCACGCGCACTGTGAGGGCGTCTCCCGCGGTAGCATCTCCCCCTTGGGCAGCGTTTCTCCCACAGATACACACCGCACGCGCACTGTGAGGGCGTCTCCCGGAACCTTTCCCCAGGGCCCGGGGGCCTGAGTGCCTTTTGCAGTTGGAGCGATGACCTTCCCTTTTTGGTGTTTCTGTAAGAGGCCTCACGGGCACCGTCAGTGTGCGGGAGCTGTTCCATTCCACATGGGGTCCACACCGGGCCCCGGGTACCTCTAGGACCTGAGGATCCACATTCTGTTAACGTTTTCAGTATTTTGGTGGGTTTTTCTTTTTTTTTTTTGAGAAAGTGATTAACAGTTCAGGAAGGAGGCACCCCGTCTGGGAATAGGCGCTGAGACAGGGAAGGTTAACGTAGCCTGAATGTGGCCGCTTACGGACACTTCGCCGCATTTCTTCCTTCTGTCGTGAAGTGCAGTTTTGGAAACTTCGGAAGATGCTGAGAGGCAGCCTGCTGGCTTCACAGGGGTCTGGCCCCTTGCTTGCCCCTCCTGTCCTGGGCACGTGGATGTGCCGCTCAGGAGGGGCCCTGCGTCACAGGTTGCCGTGAGAGAGTGCAGGTCCAGCCACCTGGTAGCCCTGGCGATTAACAGCTAGAGAGCTGCTGCATCCAGATGGCCCTCATATGTCCCGTGAACTTCTCTGCAAACTTTTGGATTTTTTATTTGTTGCAACATGCATGTGATACTTTCCATATTTAAAAAAAATTGAATACCTGACCTTAATTTTAAAAAGAAGATGAGGAGCATGATCTCACGTTGAATACCTCTAAATTATAAAAGAAGAAATTGCATTTGTGCTCTGTTTTCTTACAGGTTAATTATTCTGTAGACTTTTAAGGATTTGGTGCTAATAACAAACACTGAGATTTGTTATGGTGAACGCACACCCCCACCCTCTGTTTTCCTTCATTTCTGGATATTAGAGAATGCATTTTGCCCCATTGGAAACAAATGCCAAACATATATTTAATTCTTTCTCCCTTCTATCATCTTTTCCTAGGTGCTTAGCAAGTAACAAATCTCATAGAGGTTACTCCTTGTGAGAACCCTCTGAGGTTCTTACTATTGAAAAATCCTGCCTGATACTAGATAAAAGATACTGATACTGCCAGATACTAGAAAAAAGAGCTTACAAATGCTGAAACCCATTAGCCCTATCATTCTACTTCTAATAATTGGTTCTAAGAAAAAAACTGAACACACACACAGAAAGGTAGGCAAGAATATAGTTACTACTACATTTTTTAGTAGTAAAAAAGAGCCACAATTAAATTTTTCAGCAGCCAAGAATTAGTTATTAAATTAGATGATTGAACATTTTGTAGTCACTGAAGACACATTAAGCGCATTTTGTTGAGGATCTTGGGCTCCGTGTGGCCAGCGAGTAATCTCCGGTTCTCTGGTCTCCTCCTAGTGTTTCGCTGTGCGCTCTCTGGGGTGGGTGGAGATGGCAGAGGAGGACCTTGCTCCCGGCAAGAGCAGCGTTGCCGTCAACAACTGCATCAGACAGCTTTCCTACTGCAAAAATGACATCCGAGATACAGTCGGCATCTGGGGAGAGGTAAGTTACGGGTGAAAGTCATTCATGTCGGACTTGCTTGCATTCCTGCTGTGCCTCATGAAACCCCAGAGCCCTAAGAGCCGAGAGACACAGTACTGAGGAGTGCTGAAGGCGTTTATTGGGTACCGGAGTTATTCCACGCTCAGCCAACCATTCTCACTTTAGGTTATCAGCCAGCAGTGGTCCCTGGTTCTGTCCTGTAACATGGAGATTGTTGGTAGGGTTGACTGATGAAGACAGCCTCTGTTGCCTTTGTGAGGACCCAAGGAAATGCACTGTGTGTGTGTGTGTGTGTGGCAGGGAGGGGTGGCGTGGATTTGATCTCCCTGTGGGTCACGTCCTACAGAACATATTTAACATGGGTGACAATGTCAGCCCAAACCCTTTTAGAGTCTCTCAGCACCGTTGAGGTATTTTCCAGGAAGCCGCTGCAGGAGGAGTGGTTACCGGGCGGGAATTACGCTGGGGGCCACTCCCCACTGCGTCTGGCTGCAGATTTCTCTTAGGCTGCAGCCAACGACCCAGGTCCTGGTGGGAAAGGACAAAGAGAGACGGAAAAGGCTCCAGAGATTCCCAGTCAGCTCTCAGTTACCCGAAAGCACGTCGCCTGGTTGGCCCCCAGGGGCCCCAGGACCTGCCCTGCTCACGGGGCCCCAGCTCCTCAGGACTCAGTGATGACGCAGCTCCTGAGCACGTGGCAGCCCTCAGCTGAAGGCGGGAAGAAGGGGGCCTGGCCTGCACTGGGGGGACAGGGTGGGGGACTGCAACCCTCCCTCGAGCTTGGCCTGTCCTCTTGGCGCTGCCAACCATCGCTTAACTGCTCACCGGCTACCCAGCCTCCGTGAGGTGCTGGGAGGCAGAATCTCTCCAGGACCTGCCTCTCAATCCTGATTAATCTACAGGCTGGTTAATTAGCAGCTGGCTCTTTGCCCAGGGTCTGGACACAACTGTGACCTTAATGTGTCCGTAGAAAGAAACCCTGCCCACAGCAAGTCACGTGAGCTGCAGTTCCCCCAAAAGACCCACTGGGGGCCGCTTCAGGTCTGAAGCGGCCTGCTGTCTGTTGCCCCAGGCGCTGTAGGGTCTGCAGTTACAACAGCCTGCACAAGTTTTATTTACTGCCAGTGCTCTCGCCTGGAAGTGGCTCTCTTCCCCTTTTGGAAGATTTCCAATCATCCTGGATCTCAGTTGTAGACGCTTGGCTTAACTAAACCCTGATGAGCGGAGGCATTGCAACACCCATGTCTGCCACCCCCGCGGCAGAGCTTATGTTCACTCTGAGAACCTGTGATGGGACATTGTTCTTAAAACCCAGACCAAAGAGCAGGTTTTCTGTCCTGCTTTGGAATTTGAAGATTGGCCAAGAAGCCTCACCATTCTTTCCACCAGACCGTCCTGGTGGAGAAGAAAGTGGTAACCCACTCCAGGATTCCTGCCTGGAGAATCCCCATGGACGGAGGGGCCTGGCAGGCTACAGTCCAGGGGGTCACGAAGAGCTGGACATGACTGAAGCGACTCAGCCTCGCATAGCGTAGCCTAGACCTCCCTGGCATCCACGCTATAGCATCTGGGCTGACGGTGACCTTCAGTGGACACAGCCTTTCTGTCAGGCAGCAAACATTTAGTAATTTTTTAAAATGCCTGCGGGTTTGCAAGGGGAATGAAGTTGGATAGGCTAGTGTTCCTGCCCTCAAAGAGCCATTAGTATGTGGGGAGACAGGAGACCAGAACCTGAACAGTGATGCTGGAAACCTCCTCCTCCCCAGTGTTGGTATCAGTGACTAAAGGCATCACCACCCCCACCCTTCCAGTGACTAAAGGCATCTTGGCCTCTGTGTCAGATCATAAGCAAGTCACTTGACCTGTAAGCCTCAGTTTCCCCATCTGCTAATTGGAGATAATAACAAAGCAAGCTCTGAGGCAAGTGAGAGCGTTCATGAGCCAAGGAGCCTGAAGCGTGTGCTGTAACATCTGAGATGTCACAAAGGCACATCAGCATTAGCTCCTGAAGCCCCGAGAAGTGTCACCAAGCCGTGCCTGCTGTTTACCAGGAAGATCACACAGATCAGAGGTGGTGTAAGAGCCGAGAAGAAACAGCCCTTGTTGTGGGTCCAGGAAGGCTATCATGGGGACGGCTGGTAGGGTCTGGGCAGAGCGGAAGGAATGGGGACAGAGGTTACAAGAGGCCGGCCGACCTGGAGTTAGTAAGAGGCCAGACTCTCCAGGGAACCTGCCATTAGCCTATTTTCTTAGAGTAAAGATTCAAAGTGTAAATAATTAAAAATAACAGCCAGCTCGAAAGCAGGCTAGGGACACATTTCAGAGGATTTGTAGAAGGAGAGAGAAATTGGGCACGTGAGGGGAAGATGAAGGATTTATAAATATTTTAATCAGGAGAGGATGTTTGTCCCTTAAAAAACAAATTTCAGACCCAGGGGGCGATATTTTGATCATTGAACTGACATCCCTTGGTATCCACAATCGTCCTGAGGATGCACAACTTTGTGCAGAAGGTAAGCAGTCTTCTCGTTGAATCCCAGGGGAAGGATATGTACCTGGTCCTGGAGAATGACATGCTGAGCCTGGTGGACCCCATGGACCGCAGCGTGCTCCACGCCCAGCCCATCGTCAGCATCCGCGTGTGGGGCGTGGGCCGCGACAATGGCCGGTGAGTGCCCCACGCGTCCTGTGTCACCTCGCCGGGTGGCCCAGTTTCAGCGCCAGCGGGGAGCCTTGCTGTTGCTGCACGTCAGTGCATGAAACGTGACAGTGAGCTCTCCGCAGAAATGTAAAGAGTGAAAGCACATCTCTCTCCCAGCCTCGTAAACCAGCTACTTCCGCTCCCGGTCTCTGTCCCTCAGGCCCTTTTCAGCTCTGGGCCCCGCCTCTGGTTCTGCACGGTTCTCCACCTCCCATCCCATCCAAGTTCCCAGCTCATCCAGGCTTTCGGAACTCTGACCTTGTTTTTTTCCTCTTCTCTGCAGTCCGTTTTAGAGTCGAGTCTCAGCTATATCAGATGCTTTGCTCTTGGTATTTTCTTTGGAGAGGGCTTGTTGGATGGAGAGGTTGAACCGCCTCTAACCACAAGCTATATTTTTTAAATTATTCTATTGAAGTATAGTTGATTTATAATGATGTGTTCATTTCCGCTCTACAGCAGAGTGATTCAGTTACATGTGTGTGATTTTCATATTCTTTCCATTGTGATTTATCACAGGATATCGAATATAGTTCCCTGTGCTATGCAGTAGAACCTTGTTGTTTATCCAGATCACAAGCTTTAGGTCATTAACTCATGCTCATCAGGAACTCCTGGAGTTTGAAGTTGGCTGAACATTTTTAACATTTGGAATGTCTGGTCAAACCAACATTCCATTCAATGTGTAATTTTTCTGAAATTCTACTGAATGTTTGTCATTTCAAGCAAGTACTTCTTACTTAGATGTGCCGTGAATCTTTTTGTTCTCCAGAGTGACTGGAAACAGGGAACTTCTGGTTTTCAAGTACCTGTTCTAAGTAATAAAGTGGCAGGTATCACAGACATCAGACTTTGATACTTTATTAAGTAAATTAGGCTGCATGAAATGCATCTAACTCTTGAATTATAATTAATCTTTGGCAACTCTCAAGGTGCCTGCAGATCTCCTAGCATTTAGTGACGAGCTGTAGGATGATTTATTACTTGGTTGAAAATGGACAAGAGCATTGCAGAAGCTGGTGAAATCCCAGACGACAGAGAGATGGCTCTCTGGAGCCTGTGACTCCATTCCTGGGTTTTCTGGTTTATTGGGTTGTGTGGTTCTCTAGGGGGTTCAGCCTTGACTTCACCCAGCCTCAGGCAGTAGCAAATTCAGTAGTGTTTTGATTCAGTTCCAAGTGCTAAGCCTGAAAGGAAAATGGATAAGCATTCATCAAAGAACAAGCATTTTTGCTGGAACCAGACATAGAAATGGTCACAAGAGAGAGAGGTGGAGTGTCCTTTGATGGCTGATTGGATAAACCTTCCTGGGAGCACAGCTGTATCTTTGAGCTTTTGTAACAGTGATGAACAGTGACAGCGGTACCAGGTGCTTTGAAGGGAGTGAGTAGCTAGATTATGCATCCACACCTGTCATTCACTTGTTTGGCAGAGCTGGAGCACTGAAATTAAAGGAAAATACATGATGATGTTTGTACATATTCAAAAACGTTTAGCCTTGATGGAAGAGTGTAAGATGCTTGATCCCTCCCTACTTCCTATCCTCCATGTTTGTTTTTAAGACAGGAGCCGAGGTGAAGATCATTGTATGCATGTCCAACTTGATGGGGCTGTGTTTTCTTAAGGTTGGCTTGTGAGTGGATTTCATCCAATGAGGTTTTCAGGTCACCCCACCTCTTTAAGGCCAGATGCTGTCTGTTCAAGGTGAAAAATATGATTCGAATTCCAGTGGACAGAATTATTCCAGCCATGGGTTCAGCTTCTCTCATGTGTTAAATGGGGATGATAATAAGGACCACACAGCACGCGTATGTTTGTGCCTGTGTGTATGTATAGTAATTGGCATGGTGATGGGGATATAGAAAATGCTTAATGCATGTTAGCTTTGATTTGTTAAAGCAACATCCACTCGGAGAGAGAGCTAATTACATGGTTTCCTTTCAAAGACAGGGTGAGGGAGGGATCAGGCCTCAGGGAGGTTTTGAGTGCAGTTTATCATTTGATAACAGAGGGCCAGAGGCTGTTCTAGATGCTGTGTTCAGTTGTCCTACAAAGTGGAAAGAACTCCCCACCACTCCACTGTACCCAATGATACAGGTATAAATTAGGTTACCTAGCCTTGGTTATGTTTCTGAAATGTGCACTGAGTTACTCATGGTTTTTAAACCCCTTCTTGTTTTTACTCAATGTTAGCAGGTAAGTGTAATTTAGAAATACACTGAGGGTTCCACATTAGCTTTCAGGACCTCAGAAGTTCCTGCGTTGGTTGGGGGCCGTTGAGCTGCGCTGCTTTTAGAAGCAGTAAATAAAAAATATGTCTGTCAGGGAAAGTTTCAGTTTCTCCCCATTGCAGTTTTCATTCTCTGAAAGAAGGGACCTCTGTATTCCTAATTATTATTCTTTTTTTTTAAAGATACTTGGTTTTGCTTTTGATTCCTTTTTTTCTTTTTTTCCTTTACAGCAATTTACAAGAGCAAATTCAATTTGTAATGCTGCGAAGGGACTTACACTTTGCATGAATAAAACATAAAAGTGTTTCATTTTGCTTGCAAAAACAAGTCCATTTCGAATTCTCTTTTGTAACTTCCCTTGCTGAGAAAATGGAATCTCTTAGGGGATTTCTTGATGTGGTTAAAATGAATATGAAAAGTATGTATACCAGCGGCATGAAGGGCAGTTTCTCGTGAAATTCTGAGTGCTTCACTGAGCCATGTGATTTCAGAATTTATAAAGTTATTTGGGGTTTAGCATTTTCTTAAGGCTTTCAAGTGGGTCTGGCTTGGCTCTGCAGAAATTCCTCACGGAGGAAGTTTACTTTGGTAAGGAGGTGGTCCAGCTGTGACACCCCCCTGCTGATCCTCAGGTTGATTCAGAGCAGCCTCTTACTATGATCAGCTAAGAAGTCTCCTTGGCACCAGGGGCTGGTTCTCTGTGGGGCGTCAGTGGTTGCTGGGCAGGGCTGAAGTTTTTGTCTTGTTCTTGAGACTCTTGCCAGCCTTAAGTACGGTGCTTCTTGGAGTCCCTTTGCTATGATGCTCAGACGCTCGGTCATGTCCAGTTCTTTGCGACCACATGGACTGTAGCCCACCAGACTCCTTTGTCCATGGTATTTCCCAGGCAAGAATACTGGAGTGGGTTGCCATTTCCTTCTCCAGGAGATCTTCCTGACCCAGGGATTGAACCCATACCTCTTTATGTCTCCTGCAGTGGCAGGCAGATTCTTTGCCACTAGTATCACCTGGGAAGCATGATTACTAGGCAGAGGGAGGCCTCCCTCCTCTTTCTTGACTGTTCTGTACTTTAGTTCTTTTTGACCACAGTGAAATAAATGTTAAGGCTCCCAGAGGCGCGGACTGGGGAAAGGGGTTTCACAAAGAGCCCTGTATTTCCAATCAAAGTTGGAACTGCAGCCCCAGGGGGCACTCAGATAGACCTGCTCCCATGGGGAGGCTGTCCCGATCTGTGCCTGAGTCATAGAGCTGGCATTTTGCCTCCAGGGACTGGAGCAGGCGACCCCAGTGACACCTTGCATCTTGTTTCTGTGGACCTACAGGCTTCTCTTCCAAGGATGGGTGGGGAGGGACTTAACAGTTTCAGGGGCTCTGCCAATCCTGGCCACAGTTCTCCTGTTTACTCACTGGGCCCTGGGAGAAAGCACGCTCCTCGTTCATGTAAAGAGGTGTCAGCAGCAAGCAGACACAACTTCTGAACACAGGAGACTCGAGAGAGGGACTCTCCTCGCCTCTTGTGGCAGGTCTAGGAAGGGGCGCACAGATCCTCTGTTTATCTTTGGCTTAACTGTTTGATCTAGTTAAGATCTCAGGGAACTTTTATCTAAATAACATAGTAAGTCTCAAGTGCACTGAGTATTTTTTTTTTTTTTCATTTTCTCTTCTCTTGGGATATTTCCAGCTGGTTTTATCCACCAAGCTCCTGGCTTAAGTTGCTTTAGAAGTCCTTCACCACACACAGTTCGTGTTTTTGTTTTCCTGCCAGCAGTTGTTTTGTGTTGATTCTTCTGAAAAATGCTACTTAATTTCGAGACTTGGGGTGGGATGGGGTTGGGGGCTGATGCATGGGGCATCCTGACTGTAAATTAGTTAAAATATGTAAAACTGTAACTTACAGGCTTTTAAATGTAAAAGATGGCTGAGTAACCAGTGTCTTTAAACCCTTTTACTTTAGGGATTAACTGAGGTCAGAGAGCGTGATTTGCCTTAAGTGACCCAGCTAACTGGGCAAAGACAGGCTCCAGGAATTGTCCTCTGTCCAAGCAGGAGCTCCTCTGTTAATCCTGACAAAACATAATGGATGGTCCAAAGTAACCTGGGGTCAGCAGGGAGACTAAGAACTTCACACTCTAGGCCTGGTCCGTTTCCTTAATGAGATAAAACCAGGGGTGTGAATTAAAAGTAGAGGCCCCGAGCTAAAAGTGTCTTTCCATCGTTAATGGTTATTTAAAAAAGGAAAGGTAAAAAACAATATGAGACTCAAATGCAGTGGACCCAATATGGCCTGGCTCTTTACAGAAAGAGCGTTGAAAGTAGTAATGCGTTCGCTGTTACTGAGTCAGGCAGTCACGGAGACTTCTGAAGGAAGTCAGTGGAAGAAGCAGCAAGCCCTGCTCTGCTATGCGCTGTCTTCCTAGTCTGACTGGCCAAGGCACTTGTCTCTAAGTTGGTGGCGACCTGGAGCCTTCACGCGTCGTGTGACACCCACATTCTGGTCACATCCCTGTGGCCCCATGCTGCTGCAAAGGATTCTGGGAAGCAGAGTCTCTGGCTGGGCCAACAGTTGCCAAAGAAGCGGTGAAGCAAGCAGGCCTCTGACAGCCTGGGCTCGGATCACCTCGGTGTTCCCAGCCTGTGACCTGTTGCTTCCGGCGCCGGTTACTGAGCTGCTATCCCTGAGCTCCACGCCCACCGTCGTCTGCCTGCTTTGTGAGGCCGGAGCCGGGCTTTGCAGACCAC